GATAGCCACATGTCTACAGACTCCTCCTTACGTTGGTCACGTGCGGAGAACAAATAATGTGCTACTGCCTCGTTGGTCTGACCAGTGCAATAGGAGTCCAGTTTTGAGATTATATCCTGTACTATATCACCTGGTACTCCGCCTAAACCATTGTAGATGCGCAATGTGTCCCGACCTAAACTATTTAACAACTCTGCACGCTGTACTCGTTGTGGCTGGTGCTCTAACTGGGATGCGATGGAATAGTTCTCCCACATCTGCTTGTGCAATTCCCAATTCACCTTTTGTCATCACCGGTGACGTCTACCGGACCTGGTGCCTTAATATTTGGCCTATAATAATGTTGCACCTCCTGTACATGTTGGGCGGGAACATCCCCTGCTTGTGCCTGTGGGGCAAGGTCATCTCTTTCGGCCCTCGGTACATCTTCATAGTCTCCCATACTGGATCCCTGTGGTGCACTACCTAAATGTCACCTCAACAAGATGTGTATGCCGGTATGTGTACAACATACATGCATCTACACTACTACTGTACTTGTGTATGCAAATATTGTGAGGGTGTACCGTCATACAGCGTTTATCGCACTGAACTTTCCGTATATGTGCCTCTAACCAGTAGGTACATATGCCATTTGTGTACCATCATACTACCAAAAATAGGCCAATTAAAGTAAGCATTTAACACATCGTAATAATTAATACATGAGCACTTAACACATCATACCACGCGAGCACGTTGCTCTACACAGTAGTACTGTACATGATTGTAATGCACATACATGTGCATGTAGATGAAATAACGCGCATAGAGTTCATTGATTCCTGGTATTGTATCCGCATAGAGTTCATTGATTCCTGGTATTGTATCCGGCACCGTAGGAACTTGGTACGTACTGTGGAACACAACTGTATTCTTACACTTAGTCCCTGTCCACCTTGGTCCCACGACGAATTGCTGGGCTGGTCGAGCTGGGCGGCCACACACACGATAACGTAGATAGACTTGTATCACTCAGTCAGGCACAGCTGTACATCCACATGGTAAGCTATGAATAGCACGCACGTTGGTCTGCAAGTTTGTCAGTATAGCGGCTTCCAGTCCTGTATCGAATCCGCTTCGTCACGGCTAGGTGTTTACAACGGCCCAGCCCGCATTCGAACAGGGCACGCCGCATAGCCTGCTCACGGCGCAGTTCCCGGGTAGTTGGTGGTGCTGACACTTAACTTGGCGATTTGGTTGTCGGACACGATTGTCCTCCGATGAAAAAGTACTTCCCGCTCGCAGCACGCTTCCGGCACCATGTAACACGCCAGTATAAACATAACTCAGAGTGAAAGATAACACACATCATTTATTCGTCCACTTCTTATTCCGCCATCTTCCAACTACCACGATCACACCACGTGACCCTTCACACGTACAGGGCGGGAACACACAGACCAAGACTACGCGGTGTGATACATACACATATGTGTATGTGTATGTAAGTAAGAAATAAAATCTTCCTTCAAGAATCCCATTCTGTTTGATTACCAACTGAATTACCAACTGAACCTGATTACCAACTGAATATTCAGTTGGTAATCAAACAGAATGGGATTCTTGAAGGAAGATTTTATTTCTTACTTACTTAGTCTTTAAACATTAAGTTAACTGTAGTCTGTAGGCCTAGCCGTAGGCGTAGGCCTAGTCTGTAGAAAGAAAGAAAGAAAGAGAGTTAACATACCAGAATTCTTTCAGGGATCATCACACCTAGAAAGAAAGAAAGAAAGAGAGTTAACATACCAGAATTCTTTCAGGGATCATCACACCTTCACATTCAGTCGTCGGAGACGTCATGGTAACCGTAGTCGAACTCATACTACTACTGCTCGTCGTGGATCACTGGATGTATCTTGAGGATGAGGATGGCCTGGATGGGATGCACTTTTCCCCGGGCGTAGATGGAGGGTCACGTGATGTGGCGAAGCAAAACAAGGACCACAATTTAAATAATTGATGTTAGTCATGCTTTTTGTGTATATATCCTTGGTAGTTATCTAATTTTATGAATTCAGAATTTTATTGTAAAAAGTATGCTATGTATTGTATATGATAGATAATAAATAAATAAATAAATAATTTAAAAAAAATTAATAGACTAGTACTCGCTCCCACCTCGATTACTCGATGGGTCGATCCCATCAATCGATCCCATGGGCATGGAGTAACTAAGGCGAGAGGTGGGACCGGGTACCAGTCTAAAAAATTAATTAACAGCACGCGCGCCACGTAGTGTGAAAATCTAGAACTACGGTAGAAACTAAAAATGCTCGTGTTGTGATTGTTACGGCTTGTTTTTAGCAGATTCCAGAAAGTTTTGTAAAATTAGCAACGTATGAAAATTAATTCATTGCAACTATTTATTGACGTGTGTTTATTGCTATTGAAGTTTACGTGGAATTGCAAGCGGTGATATATACCTCGTAATTAGCATCTATTTACAGAAATAAATGCCATCCACGGGCGATTTTGTTTGATTTGGCATAATATTTACACTTACACTTACAGTGTAACTTACAGTAATTTTGCGTTTGGCAGTACATTTAGTGTCATACCACCTATGGTCATACTCGTAGTGATAGTCATAGTACATTACATACAGTGATAGTAATTTTGCATTTGGCAGTACATTTAGTGTCACAGTACATTAGCCTTAGGGCCTACATACAGTGGCAGTACATCATCAGGACAGTAATTTACACGTATGCATTGTATGATTGTAATTTGTATATTAAAATTATTATAATATAAAAAGTAATGGAAGTGTGCGTTGATTGTGTGGAATCTGCAATAAATGCAGAAAAAGGAGGTAAGCGACTATATCATTCTTAATATTCTGAAATTACGCTACAACTACAAAGTACAAGTACAAATATAATACATTCGTGCATAATAACGATTGCTACACCTCAGTACACTAGAGAGACTATGCAGCATTACTTCCACCCACATGATACATCTAATTTTAATGAATCAGAACACACTAGATAGTGGATTCAAGTCCGCCTCCCACCACACTCATGGCTCTTGTCGGCAAATGCAGACGTTATAACTCCGCTTTGCTAATCTGAGGGTGCGGGTTTAACCCACACTTTTTTGGTTTTGGTTTTGGTTTTTTGGTTTGGGTTAAACCCATTACTGGTGTCTGCGTCGGCTCGGACTATCATGGCTCACGCTACAGCACGCCTGTACGTACGCACACAACAGTCAACACAACATGATTGATGTTGTTTAACGTGGCTAGTTCTCGTAACAAAATGCATAAATACACCTACTGTGAATATACTTGCAGTATGAAAACATCACGAAATGTTCTCATTAAACCAAAAATGTGCTCTGAAGTAGAACATTTTGAAAACTTTCTCTGAGAAAGATTTTGGCATACAGATACACATAATTTGTGTAATGCGAAGCGACCGAGAATGCTAACAGTAGGCCTACGTTAGTGCAAATAGTTCCTGGAAAGAAAACACTATATTTGTTTTTGCTGATTGCATAAGTAATGTAGATAACATATGATTTAAACAAATTTTACAATTTTGTACTGAAAAAACATCGACTAATAACATAACTTAATTGTTTTATTATAGACAAGAACTGTTAATGAAAATTGCGATCGCTCAGCTGTGTCCCAGATGTGTAAAGACAGCTGTGGTGCTACTTTTGCAAGAGAAGTACTTTCGTTTAGATTTGCTGAAGGAATGTTATGAAAGTAGTGCTCACTATAAATGAGTTGTGATTTTTTACAACATAGACGAGCTCACCGTAGGTATATCTATTCATTTTGATGCGAGAACTGGCCACTAATTTGTCGCTGAGCTTTGCCTAACTCACCGTTTTTCAATCACGGTCATTATGTTTTTGCCATTATATTGAGAGGGCATTATGTTATTGCTGAGAAACAGTGATTACTACTTACTCACTCAGGGCTAGAAATTAACTTTTGAACAAGGGAGTCCAACGGACTCCCTACCCTCAAAAAGAGGGAGTCCGCAGCAAAATGAGGGAGTCCGCAGTCTGAGGTTTAAAATTAAAGATATTAACAATAACGCATGTGCTTATTTTTAAGAGTCATGCAGTTGCACGTCTGCCAAATTTTCATTGGACATTAGCTGAACAAATACAGTAATTCTGCGAGTCTGTGCTCCGGAACGAACTAGTTAGTTAGTATGGCAGAATTTTCAGGGAGTCCCACGGACTCCTGCATATGTCAAATCAGGGAGTATTTGACTTCGGACTCCCGTTAATTTCGCACCCTGCTCACTACTATTATATTACTTCCGGCAGTACTGTGCTTTGTTTATATAATGACCTTTGACATTACCCATGATGCTTTGTCATGCTGTAACTCCGAACCCGCTTATTGCGATACATCTTACAGTAAAGTGCTAGCTACTCGAGCACACGTACGTAATGGCATTCCTTTTACTCACTGGTGGTGTGGGGGTGCATGGGGTGGGGTGCTCTGCAATTCATAGCGTGCCACCATGTTATCAAACATTAACTATGTACATTTATATGTAATGTGACTAATGTATTATTTCACTATGGAGGAAACTAATGCTGATAGGGTCTATGTCCCCCAGGGTACTGCCGGAACGTATCCTGGGTACGGTCCGGTATACCGGTACTATCTAATATGCCGGACCGTACCTCGCCTACTCCACTAACGAGTCTAGGGAGTCGCCTACGCCTACTCCCTAACCCTAACCCTAACCCGAACTCAAACCCTAACCCTAATCCTAACCCTAACCATATCAAATAGTGACCAGGTTACGTTCCGGTATACCGGACCGTACCCAGGGTACGTTCCGGCAGTTCCCTGGGGGACACAGACCCTATGAGCGAAACTAATGACCTTACTAAATTAAGTCCTACCAATTCCAGTGTTACACTTTAGTGCAAATATAGATGTTGAGCATGGAGGGGAGGGGGTATGTGGTCCACACTTACATTGCAACCAGGATAATAGGTGAATTTATATCTAGTCTACTAATTCCAATGTACATGTATTTTACTTTGTTTATGCAGGAGCAACAAGCCTGGAGCTATGTACCAGTTTACTTGAAGGTGGTTTAACACCAAGTATTGGTATGTACTTTTATCACGTGACTGTAGTTGAACTATTACATGGTACTAAGTAGTTTTACTTTATTCTTAAAATATATACTATGTACAGTTTAGAGAGGCCTGTGGTATAGCTGGATTTTTAGCTCATCTGACATAGTCAGATGCAGCTTGTAGAATCGCATGATCGTCCGTCCGTCCGTCCGAGCGTCCGTCCGTCCGTCCATCCGTCCGTCTTCTAACCGCTCGCCTGACCGTTTCCATATTCCGGGCCTGGGGGGGGGGGGTAATCCGAAAACGAGTTGGGATGTCGAAGCTGGGGGTCAAAGGTCAAAGGTCAAGAGGTGTAAAAGAAGGGGGAACATTCACTCCTTAACTTAAGGTATAGGGAGGAAATGCAGAATTGCGGCACAAATCTAAACGGCTCGACCTAGGCTCGTGATAGTTGGTGTATAGCATCATGGTAGGAAAAGCCATCACTGTGCCGAAATTCGAGGTCACAGGTCAAAGGTCAATGGGCACAGGGCAGATTTTAGACATTTTCTGAGGACATGGTCTGACGGAGCGATTGAAAAACTTTTTTGTTTCAGCGGTGACCTAGCATTTTTATGGCATTATTGAAAGGACCATGAAATCTACTTTCTGCTGACATGCGAAGAGTAAGTGTCGGATAACCTTTTGACCCTCAAGAGGCGGGTTAAACATGGATTTGTTGACTGTCTGTTAGAAAGAATTTGACTGCCGGGTTTGCTAGTAGAATCTATACATGTATGCCTGGATGTATGAGGCTACAATGCCACAGTGAAATTTCAAAAGCTAAATTTGGTTAAAGAAGGTTTATGCTCCTTAAATCGTATAATTTTTATGGCATTCTGTACTGTCAGTATGTTATATGTAACCTATGCCACTGCCAGTGGCTACTGCCAGTGCATGTGTTGATGGTACTGTGTAGTTTTTGTCTGCGTTTATTGGTTACAGGTGGCAGCTCTCTATTGCAGCCTGCAGGCTTGCGTAGGTAAATGGATGAGTGCTTACCTATTCTGTCTTGCAAATAGTTGTTGCTACTACGTATGATGGGAGCTTCCATCTTTAATCTGAAGACACTTAAACGTACGCGCCATCTCGTGGCAACTTTCATAACGATCCCAACGAACATTCCTTTGAGAAGGTTCCTGATACCATCCCTGTGCATTCCACTGTTTCGGCATGTATGTGAACACATTTGGGACTAACAGGGTTTACTAGAATCCCACCACTCCACCACAGAGTCACCGCAGTAGACGTTAGATGAGCGCTGTCGCTCCGCGGCACTTGTTATAATAGTGGTAGCATCTCAGGTGTCAGAGGAATTTATTCATAAATTTACTATATTAATTAGTTTAGGAAGGCCACTATCAGTCTAATAATTTATGTAAGATTTAGTATTGCCACTCCTAAATGTGTACAAAGTTGGTAGCTATATGTGTCAATATATAATATTTTACAAACATAAAATTAGAACTAAAATCTCACAATCTTCACATTCCTCAGGTCTGCTGCGAAAGGTGAAAGAGATAGTAGACATTCCAGTCTTTGTGATGATTCGACCACGCAGTGGAGATTTCCTATACACGGGTCTCGAAATTGAGGTAGCTAAACATTTCTGTACATGGATAGTAATTTACTACACTTCCTTTACCAAACAGATGTAGAAGGTGCCTTGCAGCAGGTTGCATTAGGTACATGTTTCAATGTACCAGAGATTTATTTAAATTAACTGTCACAAATAAGTCATTAAACTGCATAAGTGCAGACAAATTGGGTCTTACCTATTAGCAAACTTTTTACTTTTTACTCTGACACCACAATCACCACAAATTTGTGCTGTTAAAGGCTATATAACACAAATAAACAGCAAACGTGCGCCCGCCATCTTCAGATTCGTGATAATAGAATTATCAACCGGTCCCACAAAACGAGCGCACGTAGTTACGTGATGCAAATATTTATATATTGGTACTAATTTCGAAATGTATACAAAAGTAATAAACCTAGTGTAGAAACAGGTGTCCGGTTTTGCAGGAGCAAAAATCACTTGCTAGGTTTGTTGACATATGTAAACAATCTCATTTGAAATGCAGATCGGCGCACATATTGGTGGAAAGAATGTTGTGAGAGTGTTCTATGACATGTTAGCCTTACTATGTACTTTTGGTCGTATGCAACGCAAGGAGTATGGGTAAGTATCAGAACGGTAAAGGAAATATGAAAACGGTTGGTAAAAACGTGAAATCCTCGCTTTAACTGCTTAAACTAGTCAATGATAATTCGCATGTGACGTATATTTGTGGTATGCTTAATCATGTTCAGGTGATGAAGGAAGACATTTCATGCTGCAAGGAAAACGGAGCTGATGGCATCGTCTTTGGAATTTTAACGAGGTAAACAATAAATATTTTTACCAGCATCATACTATGTTGTCTTTATATTTGTGGTTGCAGTTAAAATGTAAAATCCATGTTTCACCTTTTTCAGAGAAGGAAACGTGGACAAAGAGCGATGTCTAGATTTGATTGGTAATTTATATTTAATATACTTTTGCAAGGGTAGGTTACTTTGCATGGTTACATTCAAGTCCCGCTGAACAAGTTTACCATTACATTATAAAACCTTACCATATTATCTTTCTTTTTGTTCAGTTCCTATAAGCATTGTTACATAATGTCACATTTGAATGTTATTTTTTAGATGTTGCAAGACCTCTACCAGTTTCGTTCCATAGAGGTATGCAATATATTTATGCCGATTGATATAGACACGTGAAACAATCCATTCCAAAATCTTTGCCTATATAAGAAAAATAAAACATTGTAATTGAGCCATTGTTTGTCTGCATGGCTGCAATAACTGCAGTGTCTGCCAAACTGTATTTCTTTAATAGAAAGTTTCATATAATTGTCCTGTTTTCTTTCTGATATTTCTATTTTTAGTTCACTCCACAATACATCATTATCTGATTGTTTCATATACAAATATATGCACTAAATACAAACATGTAAGAAGTGTCACTGGCATGCATTTAAGTGAAATGAGAGGTAAATGCAATTTAGGCACACTGCAATAGAATTTTGCAATGAAAGGAGCCAGATATTCATAGAGTAACAATGCCATTAAAAACCCAATTTACAGTTGCTTTTAACAGGGTTCGTAGCGGGTCTTCCAGTCTTATAAGTACTTATTTTGCCAAAAATAAAATAAGGGCCCTTATTAGTACTTATTTTTGGTGAAATCTTAGAAAAGTACTTAATAGTCCTTATTTTTTGCAACCCACAATATTTCATATAAATTGTTTTATAAACTGTTCTCGTGACTTTAGAGTAAGAATTGCTGTATATATATATACGAATAATTAAATCTGCTGTGCAACTGTGTATGATAAATATTAATTAGTGTACTTTAATAGTCGGATGATCAATCAGCATAATCACGGTAAACAAAGGTCTTATTTTGGCTTCCAGAAAGGGTCTTTATAAGTCCTTATTTCAACATGTGTCTTACTACTATGAACCCTGTTTAAGCAAGAAAGCAAGAGTGGCGCCTAACAACAAAAATGTAAAATAAATAACAATCTGCTTTTCCAAGAGTAGTCATATTTATGATCAATCAAATATGAATCACCGCCAACAGTCACTAGAACGAAGGCTGGTCGATTGCATTGAAGCACATCGTCTGCGCGTTCGTCTTGTTAGCGTTCGATCTGACGTCGAACTGGAAGGATCCCTTGGTGTGTTGATCAATCTGGGCTTCGAGCGTGTGCTGACTAACGGTCAAGAACCACAAGTGCGCTGGACGACTGCCCGTCATACGTGACATGGTGCCAGCTGCTGCTGACCGCATTCTTGTCCATACCCCGGTGAGAATGCTTCTACGGAGTCGGAATACAAATTTTGTATTTTATCGTATTCTATGTCTCGCCAATTCTTATTTTAAATTTTGCTGTTTTTATAGTAATCTATCGTCTATGTCCGCTGCCAAATCTAAATAAAAATTCCCCTGTTTTCATGTACCTTTATGTTCCATAGTGTAAAGCTTTGCGCGCTGACCGTGGCTTAGGGGGGGGGGGGGGGGGGGGGGGGGGGGGGGGAGGGGGAGGGGGGTGAACCAATTGTTCAGCTGGTCACTGTAAGTCCACTGATTCCAAGTAGTGAAAGTGAAAGTTCTTGTTCTGGAAAAGAAGAGTCGGAGTAAACGTGCATGTATGCGTTACTGTGTATTTGACTACGTGAATAGTGGAGACGAGTACAATCGCTCATTCTGAACATTTATGAGTTTACTTATAAATGTTTTGTGCAATAATGGCTTTGAGCAATATGACGGACTGAGCTATGAACAATTGATGTCACTGCTGAAAATCTTAATACAAATCTTTGTTATTTTACCTTAGTCTATACTCTTAAACCCAAATACAAATGTCTTATTGTTTCCTCATATTAATGTGTCTGCCAAATCTAAATGTGAATTCCGTCATGTTTTTACGCGGTGCAGCTGTGGATATCGGCGCAACATAGGCGTAATTCTGGAGGGAAGCTGCACCTACACGAGCGTTCCACCTGCTCACCTCGCGCGCACGATCATCTTTGATTCCGCTATGATTCTACCGGTACCTCGCGTGTGTCGATGCTGGCGCATCTCTCTGCCAGAATACACACACAAGGTCACGGATTGCGGTCAAGGTGCAAGAGCATTAGGTGACCATTGAGCGCGGCATACGTGACCGTGACCCCAACCTCATCCCACTCATCTAGCCGCGCCACAAACACCTCCATCCCTCGATCTTAACACTGAATTTCTGTAATATTTCGTTGTGCCCGTCAACTTTTGACCTTTATTTCCACCTCTTCATTCTTTTACTGAAAAGGTTGAGTATTTTTAGTGGTTTAATCGAATATATAGTATACCATTTACGTGTTTTGTCACACAAAATTCTTTATGATGGTAGAGCAATACATACTTCTATCCATTAAATAGAGGAAATATCCCAGTCGACACTGGGAGAACAGTGTTCTTACTATAAGTCCAGGGTGGGGCCAGTGAAATATACTAATCAAGAAATGTGAAACGGAACTCTTGCAAATATAATGATTTGTATGTTGATCTACAGTGTCGTTGTATAATTGTTGAACGAGTTTTTTACTTCAACCATCAGTAGTTTACTACTTGCGTGAAGTCCGTTAGCTTCCACCTGCACAACCTGCACCAGGATTTGTAAGGCAGCTAAGTTGTGTGTTGCCAGGTTCAAGTAAGTGATTAATCCCAAGCATTCCAATCAGCTATTGCCTACATGTGGTCAATTGCCCTATTTCATAATTCCAACCGCTGGTTATTGATGCTCACTCAAATCGTTGGAATCTGAATTATTAATATCTCTATTATGAGATTAAAGTTATATCATTAATACTGCTTGATCAATATTTTTAAGTGTTAATAGAATCGGAGTGCACGTTGATTACGTTTTTATACAGTCTAATTATTATGCATTATTAATCAATTATTAACAATAACAATTGTACAGATAAAAGTACTGATTACTAGCATCATAAACTCTTTTCACGAATCATGAAAGTTAAATCATTGCCTGATTCAGGAAATCGATCGACACATAAAGACAGGATATGACTAGCTTCCGTTATTTCTATTAAATATAGCACCACTCGGTTCTGAGGTTGGTCGTTTTTACAATTAGCAGTAGACAATTCTACTGATCAAGAGATTTCACTGTTTGCATTCTGTGTTCTGATGATGCCCACGTCAAAAATCTATGTACGATTGACTCGAGAACAACGGCGATGGAATTCTCAAAATCTTGGCAGGAGAAACAGAATGATAGGATATTAGAATGCGTTCCCAACTTTGACAATTTAAACCTGTGTCAAGCAGTTACCTCTATGGAACGGACAGCCTGTCATATAAGTGAACAGTTAGTTGGTCTCGATGAAACCATAGACATTGAATGGAAACCTGTGATTATGGAACACCGAGGGCCCCGTTGTCTGGAAACCAGGAACTCCTATCAGCTAATGGCTGCTGACTTGGATGAGAATCAATCAACAAAATTCAAATCAACCATTTAATGTACATCACAGTAAATTTATGCATATTATGATGGTAACCACATATAATGCAATATATTGATAAAAAAACGACCGTGTCATGATATAATTCTGCACAACAACGACAAATTCTCACACTGTAACGCGAGACGCGAGAAATCGGGCAAGCGTGGAAAACCTTTAGAACCAAAAAAACAAATCCATACGCCATTTGTAAATGTTATTTAGAGCTCATCTGACCAGATAGTCAGATGTCAGCTTGTAGAATCGCTATGTCGGTCCGTCCGTGGCTCGCGTGCGTCCGACCGTCAACAGTTGGGCACAATCTTAACCTCTCGACTACGGGTCCACGATATTCGGGACGGGCGGGTAATCCGAAAACGAGTTGCGATGTCGAAGCTGGGTCAAAGGTCAAAAGGTCAAGAGCGTGTAAAAAGAAGGGGGAACATTCACTCCTTAATAAGGTATAGGGAGGAAATGCAGAATTTGCGGCACAAATCTAAACGGCTATCGACCTATGGCCGTGATAGCTGGCTGTATAGCAAAATGGTATGAGAAAGCCAATCACTGGTGCCTGAAAAATTGGAGGTTCACAGGTCAAGGGCACGGCAAGATTTTAGACATTTTCTGAGGACATGGTCCTGACGGAGCAAATTGAAAAACTTTCTTTGTTTCCAGCGGTGACCTATCATTATGGCTTTATGAAAGGACCATGAAATCTGCTTTTCCAACTGACGAATGCGAAGAGTAATGTCTGATATACCTTTTGACCCTCAAGAAGAGGTTACAACGAACTGGATTGTTAGACTGTTAATCAATGGAGTGAACTGCCTTTTGCTATTAGAGCCTCCTTCCCCCACCCTCCCCCGCCCTTCCCCCACCCCTCCCCCGCCGCCTTCCCCCACCCCTCCCCCCACCCTCCATCTGCGATAGTGGCGTGTCCTACATATGATGTGTCCGCGAACTGCGTGTCTGCATATCTGCGCCTAACAAATGGTACTACGCATGACCTGAAATTTTTACGTTTATAATCGTAGCAACAGACCTCAGAATGATGCCAGACGCTCTGCGGTCTCTTGTTTTGTTATTAGCTAGCATACTTAATGATTTTGACAGTGTTTTTCAAGAAAAACCACACATTTATTCATTATTATAAAATAAATATCACATAATTGTAATTGGTCGTTAAATTGTTATTTCAACTTAATCTTAAAGTTACGCAGAGTGTCTGACCTCCTCGTAATGTATGATGATATTTGCGAGGATTTCGTTCCTCGTAACCTTACGATTTTCTGTCAACCGGTCTTACAGTGGAAGTAAAAAAAAAAATAGTAAGACTAAATGTTGCAACTAATTTTGTTTCTGACAACGCCCCCTGGCTTATTCTTTAGTCGCTGTTATTTAAGTGAAACGCATCTCTATACTAATTTTCCCCCCTCATAATGCTCAAACGTATACTAATGCCATTAGCCATTCACCTGTTTCTGGGGTAGATTTCCCCCTTTAAACATCGACCAACAGAACGTCCGTAAAACTAGGGTACAAACGTTCCAATTCGCAACTCATCTACAATGCTGGTTGTTTTTACTAGGATATTGCAATTCTTGTTGTCCACTATGTGTTCTGGGGCAATTGCACACCTACCTTTTTCATCATAGATATCCTGTTTTAGGT